ACTCTTAGGATAAAGTAGTATTGACTATTGGACTGAGCTGCTTATTTGACACATTACTAACAGGAGTCATGATTTTCTTCTGAAGCATGCACCTGCCAAAATGTCCTATTCTTGTTTTTTTGATAATTAATGTCTTACTCTTGTTATGATGGTAGGTAGCAGAGACACATTCACACTTTGTTATATCTGTTGTCTTACTTTTTTTTAGACTGTGCTGTCTAAGTTATCTTGTTAGATGCTGCCTACAAGTGTTATTGCTTCTTGCCATCATTCGCGAATGAAGAATATCAATAGCATCAAAACCAGAAGAGATATTTCTTTATTTCCATACACTTGCAAAAAAAAAAAACTGCGGTTGCGAACTCCCATGGTCATTAAGGGATCACTTCGCTTCCTGTATATTGTTTGTGTAGATTTTCGTTCTAATTCTATAACTGTTTGATTCTTCAGGAGAACCCAGACTTGTGGAAATGGCTTACTGGTCAAGAGCAACCGCCAGAGATTGTAAACTCTAATCCTGTATGTCATACCACAAATAACTCTTCTTCTGCCCCTCTAATATTTCCATTGCTTCTATACTAAACGAATTGTGCCCAAACAGGTATTTGCTGCCATTAAGTCGAAGGTGACGGATAACCTGAGCAAGCACTCTTCCCCAGAGACCCGGTCAGCGCCTGGCCAGCCTTGGGTGAGAGGGTGGGATGACAAGGACAAGAGGGGTCTGGATGGACCCAAGTACGGAAACCAGTGATAAGGTGCTTGAAACCATTATCGCAGTCTTAAAGCTCAGCTTGTTATCCTCGGTGTGTATGATGCTTGTGTAAATAAAGCAAGTCATGGTTAGTGATGCGCCATGATTTGTATTGTCATTTGATCTGTGCTAGGAATAAGGTTTCACTTGTTCCCGTCGAGGGAAACGTGTCGTCTGTAGTGGTACTGTGCAGCCAAATGCATCTCCTTGTTCCAGATCGGAATTAACTATGTATGCACAAATCACTGGCGCATTTTCACTCAATTTAGTAACTGTGATGTATGTATTCTTTAATATCACCGAATGTACTTTTAGGCCCTTAAGTAGATTTTGGTATTGATGACGAGCAATCAAGAGATTAATGTGATCGTTAAGTTTGAAATCAGGTTAGTCCCAAGAGCGAAGGTTGCAGAGTACCTATTGCTTGCTTGTATGCTCATATATTATAAGGTGGCAATCCCTAGTTGTATATTTAGAGAACTTAATTTATCTGCGTCCCTAAATTTGCTAAAAAAATACTCCTGAATTGCTTCCTTGTATGCTCATTATATTAAAAATTTAGTCGCCTACATCCCTCCATCCTCTTGACATCCTACTTACATCTTTGATTGTTCAATCATATATTATGCCAAAATTAACTAATGTAGAATAGATACATCATACATCAAGCATTGCAATACAAATACTTCAGATCTTCATGTACAAATTGTTTATTCAACTCTTATACAGAAAAACAAAATGAAATCTCACAGCGATCACTCATATATTACAAAAAAATGACCATGAAATGAAAGAATAAGATGATGCAACATTCAAGATTATTTATGGTACATGAGGAAATTACTTTAAGAGAAACTGTCTCTCTGGATTCATGGAATGTGCCTGCGGTATTCTTCGGAGAAGATGTCACTCTCTCTGCTACTCTGCAGAGGCGCAGAGCCTACGAACCAGCCGGTGCTTGCTGGGCACGCATCACCATTTCCTCGGTCGTAGTTCCTATGATCTCATTTGCACGCTTCAACGGAACGCACACGATCCTCCCGATTGAGTCCTGGTAGAGAAGTTTATTGAAAGAATCAGGAACTTCGAACTTTGAAGTTTCTGTAGAGTAGCTTTTGGCAATCTTACCCGGGACACAATTCCAAGCTTTTCAAGCTTCTTCACAGCATCAACAACGTCGAAATTGCACTCCACGCCAAACTCTTCCTTGATGAGCTGTTCGCAACGTGAATCAAGATCCTGCAAAGATCGGCTAATTCATATGTCAAAAGCACAAAGGGCATGTCATCTATGTGCAAAATCTGCATAGATGATATATAATCAGGGGAAAACCATATAGCGTGGTCCTACAAGGTGATATTTTCCTTGATAAGAACACTTGTACTCTAAACATATGCATCTTAATCAGATGTGAGACATTCAGTAGCTTGTTGTGTGATGTCTCCCATATTGATGAAAAAAAAGAATGTACACAATAAAAAAATAAGCGATGTTGACTAACTGAGATATTCAGGTAACTTAGTTTCTGCAAGTCTAAATCAGATGAAACAGAGAATGCATCTATAAGAAAGTTAGGCTGCGTCAGGATAATATCCACTGAGTACATCAGAAGATTCTCAAGAACATTGGCGTCAAAGGAGGAAACTGGGGAAAACTGTATATGAATGAAATATGACATAGGAATTAGCATCATGTAGACACACTTACCTGTATAGTTGCTTTTCCTTGCTCCATCAGAATGTAATAAGAAACAATGACCTCTTTAACCTGTCGAGGAGTTTGCGATATGTCAGCGCCACAAACAAGACATTTTACACACAACAAAGAGATGTGTTCGGGGATCGATTAATACTTCTTGCTGGATCACATCGTCGCATAAGTGTAGAAGTGTCCCTTTCCCACTGTCAAGCTGCTTGTCATACATCGATTTTGTGATTAAATTTTGGTAAGTCACCATGTTTGCCTGAAATCTATTTGACGAAAGACAAATTTGTCACATATCAGCCCAGAAATTCACCACATTGGTAAAATAAAAAGTAAGTTTAGATCTCTTACGTAAAGTAGATCTTCGCACAGTATCCAACCAAACCAGAAACTATGGCTGTCACGACCCATATGTCAGCCTTTGGCATTTCTAGAGAACCTACTAGAGTGACCTGAAAAGAAAAGGCAATTGATATGGTCATCAAGAGAAACTCAGTAGAATGTTTGGTATCTAAAGCACCAGAGACATACCAAACCAAGCACCGCGGAAATAAGGAACAAGACCCAATCCATTGGTGTTAGACTAGGGTTCTTCTTCTCTGGCTACAACATATATATAATGGTGCCAGATATGTCAGAGAGGAAATAAGTATAGAACCTACCAGAATAAATATGTGAAGAACACACAAACACATATGAATGGCTTATATGGTAAATCATATTACCAGAACTAACTCCATGTCAGCCATTGGAATATTCTTGAAATGCTTTACAAATATTCCTCGATCTTTCTTAGTTTCTTTGCTAGCCCTCCTGTGATATTACGGTCACGGCACAATAAGCAATTGCATAAATATGTCAACACTGAAGATAAGATATTGCTTCATTTTTAAGCGTATAAGGGAAGGATGTTCAGAGAGAATTACCTATATACCACGATTATCCTTTCAAATGTAGGCTCCTGAATTGTCATCTTTCTTAGTAGATTCCTTATGCTGCCGTAAAAAGGAGAAACACTCAATTGATATCGAGAGTTCAACTTTAGTCTAAATTTTTTACTGTCAAGGAGAGTCCTAATCTTCTACCTCAGCTCCATTTTTTCAAGGCGTATGCGCTCAACAAAGAGGTCTGCTGGCTCTTCGTCATTGACTTCGTCAGTCTTCTTTGTGTCTTTCTTTGGCTTCAATTGTCGCTTCCTAGAGAACAATTTCTCAATCCTATTTAAAATAGAATTGTCATATTAAATGATAAGTCCAGCTTAGAAGGAAAAAACATGCTGATTCTGGATCAAGCTATCATACATTGTGACTCTTAACAAGAATCTCCAGGCTCGAGATATGATCACATCAACTTTCTCCATAAAGAAGTAATCGGTAGTTTGGTCGATTCCAATGCCTCGCCGGAAGACAATATACTACAATGTATGGTTGATGAGATCAGCACTCCGATACAAGAATAGTTATACAGAACTGGGGAAATGCTTTTAACATCAAATCAAACTTGTACATGTCGGTGAGGTATGGATATTAAACGGAACTGTTAACGAAACCACCAGAATAAAATGGTTGCTTTTTTCTTGAAAGTAAATATACAGCACGTGCCCATTAAAGTTACCTTATCGGCAAATGCTGGTAGGTTATCATGTGGGTGCTCTTTAAAGTACCTGCTCAACAGCGTTTTGTCGACCTGTAATTGTTCATGAATCAGTCACTATCTATGGGCGCAATTGTTCTGATTCTGATTTGGGACTAAGTAGCTTCTGACCTTCGATTCGTCAACCTTGATCGGTAGGTTCAGAAGATACTGACCAGAATGAGCTACTTCATTCTCTTCATCAGACAACAACTTGAAGTTGCTCTTGTCCATTATCTAGTTAAGACCACGGACATATATGGAACAGAGGGAGTTTTGGTTATTGGCCAGATAAAATGTGGCAAATCACATTTATTTAGGATCGGAAGGTACGGGTTGTGATCCAACCTGAAAAAGGTACGTTAAGAAATTGAGTTCAAGGGTTTCAGTTTCATCACGTGTCAGGCTCTGCTGCTCCAAACTCTTCTCACCAGAAACAGGATCGAATAGGGCGTATAGTTGCTGAACCACAGAACAAAATATTCAGCTGCAAGAGACTTTACCAACTCGGAGACAGTTACGGAATGGTAAAGGAAGGTAATATTTGAACATGCCTACCATTAGATCCTCAAATTGCAGGAGATACCAAGCACGTACAGTGTACTCCACCCTCCTGCATAGCTTCATAAACTCGGCACGGTCTTTATCTTGCTCTGAAGAGGAAAATAAATCAGGCACATGCGTGCGTTACTGGAATGCAGAACTGTTTTAAGAATCCAATCTTTCAATTTTAGGGTAATGTTTATGGCCTCTACGTCCAGCCGGTAACTGAAATGCAATTCCAACTCATGAACGTACGAGTCAGAGATCTGCGCAAATGATTGTAAGTGGCACTCAGTGGGTCATATTAGATTGCAAAAGAGATTACAGAACCACAATACATCCTGGTTCAATCAAAAGCTTAGATGACCAACTGACATATAAGACCTGAAAACAATCAAAACTCCCAAGAACAGTAAAAAGGAAAAGATAGGCCAACCTTTTGGGTTTTGTCGAAGAAAAAGTGGGAAGCACATAAAACAGTCCACTTCTAAACTATCAGAAACTATACATTGGATGTCTAATTATTTCCATGTACTAACAAACACTTATTGACTAATTAACTGATATTTTGCAGTGCACACACAAATACCCCATATTAGCTGATTCAGAAAATAATGGAAAGATCTGATATCTGATCCATTGGTAAGTACTTCCTGTCTAATAGTAATAAACTAATGAATGAGTGAGATTGAATTGGCGAACCAGCCACCATGCACTCTCAACCCTAACTGTCAGGGATTGCCCAGCCGTGCAGCCCAATTAATTAGAACTGCACAAGACATTCATTCAGAGAAACACCGGACTCGTCTCCCAGTTTAAAGAAATGCGACGCCTCTAGGCCCAACGGACGATCAGACGAAATGAAACCGAAAAGAAAGAAGCGGAGACGGCCGGATCAACGGGGCGAGGGAGGCGATACCGATGAGGTAGGAGAGCTTCATGACGAGTTTGGGCTTGAGGATGGGGATGACGGACTCCCTCTCGAGCCGTATCACCTCCTTCACCACCCCGTCCTTCTTCTCCTTGGCCATCGCCTCCGCCGCCGCCGCCGTCCCGGGCACGTCCGGCTGCCTCCCCAGCGCCTCCACCGTCGGCGCGGACGACATGAGCGACGCTATATAGCAGCAGCGCCGACCGGGATTGTCCGAAGCTTGGGATCGAGGCAAGGAATGGCGTCGGGGCGCGGCAAGACGGAACAAAGCGATCAACGACGTCGAGGGCGTTGCACAAAGAGAGGGCCTTTTCCGACCGTGGCACGAGCACGAACGGTCTGTTGGGGCCAACCCGAGAACCTCACAGTTTGCGCTATAATCCTTGGATAGAACGAAAATTGAGTTCATGACCCTCGACAACGTTATACTTTTGTTTTCAGGAATGCCGTTCCAAAACTATTTCCCACCTCATAGTCTCCTTCATTCACTATCATCATGCCCATCTGACATGTGAATTCCCCACACTTGCGCAACCACTTTCATAGCCGATGACCCACCTGGAGATGAATTCACGACATTAGGGTCTATCAAATTACTCACAACATAGACAACCTTTATACACAAACACACCACAAACCATACATAAGTTATTACATATGCAAACGCTTATTGTTCTGTGAATTAACAAATTCAACACCAACAACAATCACCAATTACTACTCTTAGTAGCTAAAACCCCTTGTGTGGCAATGGGGCAACTTTATTCTAGTGGTTCAATGTAGGAAGATTTTGATTGGGTAGAGATTGAGATATGCTGTGGGAAGATCAAAGACGTCAAGGGCGTTAGAGAAAGAGAGAGCCTTTTCCGACTCGTGGCACAAACATGACTGGTCTGTTGAGGCCATCTGGAGAACTTCACAATTTGCACTCTCATCCTTGGAAAGAATGCAAATCGAATTCATGACCATCTCCTCAAGAACGTTACTATTTTTTTTAATTTGTTAAGAAACACAAAGTATAATTTACATAAACACACTCACTCACTAACATAACACCTAGTGAAGAATAGATCCATGGAGCTTAGGAGCAGGGATTCACCACGTTCGCCTCACTGTTAACAGCAATGTCCTCTCCTACTACAAGAATAATATGTTTGAATGGATGCACATGACGTCAAACCTTGTGTTCGATCACAGGTATGTTGGAGGTACAACTGCTCTCGTAGTCACCCAATCAGTTAAGCAATAATTCTATAATAGTCAGGAGATCAAATAGGAAATATTTGTGAGCCCTAGCCTTTGTCTTTTGATATTGGATCTACAATCCATACCAAGTAAACTAGGTTTATCTAGAAGCTACAAGTTGTTGACCATACCGAGTCAATTTCATACATCTTGATGCTACAAAGGTTGTACATATCCCTAGTACATTTATATGTATTAAATGCTTACAAAATTTTTATCATTCCGAGTAGATATGGCATATCTCGAAGCTACAAAAGGTTGGTCACACCAAGTAGATGGTACATTGATATTTGAAGACATGAGAGGTTGGTCTATTGAATTTGAAGCCACATGAGGTTTGTCACACACCAAGTAGTTGGCACATTAATATTTGTTGGCCACACCAGAGTAGAGATTGCTGGTCAACGAGATGAGATGACACAATCCCTCTTTTGTTCAAAGAAACCATATCGTTACCTTTTTCTTTGGTATCCGGTTGTTGGATAGTCGTGATTGTTCAAAGCGAACCTTTTTTAGCCCCGACAAGCAGCAACCATATAGCCCACCACCACAATCCGCATGCTATGTAGCAGTCACATTCTGATGGAAGGAGGGCGGAGCCAAGAAAAACAGTGGTGATGCTATGTGTATGGGGGGGTGCATTGCCCTAGCCCTGGAAAGAAGTGTGAGGTTAATTTTTTTGGAGGTCTTGGATGGGATCTTAATATTGGTTATATGAACTGTCATTAGATGGCGCAAAATGGGCGGTTATATTAATTGGGAACACCCTAAGATCTCTTTCATGAACGGTTTTGGTTCTGAACTTGCAGCACCAAGATTGTGTTCGAGTTGAACGCTCTCAGTGGTTGTGGCCCTCTGGCGGACAAGTTTACGGGAGGAGATTGAGAATGACCAATGCAACATGGCTCATCCGTTACACCGCCAGAAAGGGCTACGAAATCTATGGGTGGGAGCTCGGTATGTTCTCCTAGTGTCTTCTCCATTTCTCTTGGTACCGTAACCCAAGATGGAATTTCAGTTAGAGATGACAAATTTTCTTCAAAATGTGCAGGAAATGAGGTCGGTGGCAAATGCACCGCACTGGAGCCTCGATCGTCATTGACTGGTATGCCAAAGACGTGACTATGTTGTGGAAAACATATATACTAGGCAACAGCTCATTGAAGCCGCTAGTGATCGCTCAAGGAGGCTACTTCAAAGAAGGCTGGTTCGATTAGTTCATCGTCAAAAACAATCCAAATATGGTCAGTGTGGTCACCCACCACATACTATCCGGGAGGGGGGGGGCATTGCCCCCAGCCCTCAAAAGGAGTGTGAAGTTAAAAATTTTTAGTCTTTGATGGGATCTTAATATTCGTTATATGAACTATCCATTGGATGGTGAAAAATGGATGATTTATATTAATTGGGAGCATCCTGAGATTTCTCATCATGCATGGTTTTGGTTTTGAACTTGTAGTACCAAGATTGTGTTCGAGCTATGTGTGGTTGTGGCCCTTTGGCAGATGGGTCTATGGGAGGGGCCTGGGAATGACCAATGCAACATGAATCATCCGTTACACTGCCAAAAAAGGCTATAAATCTATGGGTGGGAGCCACGTATGTTCTCCTAGTGTCTACTTCATTTCTCTTAGTACCTTGAACCAGGATGGAATTTCCATTAGATGATAGATTTTCTTGAAAACATGCAGGAAATGAGGTCGGTAGCAAAGACAGTGTAGCCTTGAACACATCCGAGTAGTATGCCAAAGATGTGACCGTACTGACATGGTCTGTGGAAGTGATATATACTAGGACAACCCGTTGATGGCTCTGGTGCTCGCTCCGGGAGGCTTCTTTGAAGAAGGTTGGTTCAGCGAGTTCAATGCCAAAACAAGCCAGTGTGGTCACCCACCACATATTACCTTCTCTATCCGTTAGCGCAAATCTTTTTCATGTTTTTTGGATGAAAATTTCCTATAAAATGTAGTGCAATGATTTTTTTAAAAAAATATATAAGATTTGATCCTACAGGTCAAACAATCAACATAGGAAAAATTGCTATTATTATTATGCTCAAAATGAGACAAGTTTTTCTGAACACATGTGCACTGCACCCCTTATCTAAGATGTCCAATACTGCTTTGAGATGTGTGCTACTCAAATATTAACTTACACGGAAGTTTCTCTTAAATGAAAAAAACATATGGACTCCAGACTTTATAGATCAACAAAACAATGGAACCGCAATTTGTGAAAGGAGTTTTTTTTCTGGAATAAATATACAAAATGATATTTATTTTCTTGTTAAGAAATATTTTTTATAGTATTTATGCTGTAAATAGAAATTTAAAAGTTTTTCCGCACTTAATTGTTCTAATGTATTGTTGACCTGCAAACTTTAAAGTTCATATATTGTTTCATTTGAGATAAAAGAAAGAGGCGTTCACACAGATCAAAAAGCAACAAATAGATGGTTGGACATGTTGGAATTATTCGCTCCGGAGGCCCATGTAGCCATTCATGCATGACAGAGGGGTGTGAAAAATTTAGTCCCGCTCCGCTAGTGAAAGATATATGAGACCAACTTAGAGCATTTTCAATAGAAAATGTAGATGCAAAAACATCTAACTTTTGCATCTTCGAAGCCCAAAATCAGCTCTACAACAGATGATGTAGATGCAAAAAAAAATTACATCTCCGCCTTCCAGAAATGTAAAATACAGCACTTCGAGTTGCAAATTTGCATCTCCACCATATGAAGATGTAAAAATGCAACCGCCTGCCAACCCACCAAATGTCGTTCATTTCACTTCCTTCCTCCTCCTCTTCTTCCTCTCGCTGCCTGCCGCATTGTCGTGGCCCACCCGCCCACCTGCCGCGTGTCGCCGTCGCACTGCCGCGCCTGACCCCCCCTCCCGCACCCCCACCGATGGTTACACCGCCGGACGCCGCGAATCTGCAGTCGCCCCGCCCCCGCCCGCACATCTCC